CATAAAAAAAAATTGTCAAAAAAATTTTCCGGACTGACTTACATCAGTTTAGTTAGGGTTTAAAACAAATTTTCTCTGACATGCTTAAAACGCATTTTTTGTACCAATATCTGCAACATTTAGGTTTAGAAATTTTTTCTCACAACATTACTTATATCAAAAAACGTTTTATTTTCCAAATGTGGGAGCCACCCTTACACAACTTATAATTTTCCCTATTGAAAAGTCTCTGCACGAATTTTTTTTTAAACTTTTTTCGTGCTCGAATTTTTTTTCTGTTTTCCCTGCTCGATTTTATTTTTGCTTCCCCCCCCCCCATCACTTTTCTAATGGGCCGCCCCTAAAAGGGGCTAGTTTCGCCCCTGAAAGGAATCGAAAGAACTCGTTGTATTCCTGGAATTTAATTGTTTGTAAATATATAGCGCCTCATATATATTTCTGTCTTCCGTTCCGGTTATTACGCTATAGCTTCTTATTCCTATTTCATCTATGAAGTAAAGGTAAAAAATTGTTGTAGTTGAAATTCGATTAGTCGTTAGAAAGTTTTATCGATGTGGAACACATTTTATGAAAAAACTAAAGTTCAGAAATTCTTGAAAATTGTTCTTTGGAAAAAATGAAGGCCGGGTTATGTATTTTAACGTATGCTATAAATGTACAATAGTTTAAACACTTCTCAATTTGCATTTTCGGCGACAGGATGAACCGTCTAGGAAGGAAAAAACTCTTCTCGAAAGGGCAACTACTGATCCATTGTCAGATGTTAATGGTCCTTCTGATCCTGTGGATAAGGTAACAAATAGTAATTAAAATTCTTAAATTACTAAATTATATATCAACCAATGAGTCAGTCAATCATTAAATCGAAATATCCTGGTTGAAACTAAGGTCCTTGCTTGATAACTTGTAAGATTAATCTATCCCAGGCTAGGGCCTCCTTGCTTCAAATATAAATTTCCAAAATTATGTAAAACAGTAAAATATTCATTCTAAAACTGAACAAATCTGCTTGCCAATGATGGGTTATTTCTAAAACTGTTTAAACGTCTGCATTTCCTTATATTTTTCGTTTTTTTATGAATAGGGAAATAGGGGTGGCTACCTTTACAGAAAACCAGAAATTAACCATGAAGAAGAGAAGCATAACAAGAAAAAAGGCAAAGATGCTAAGTAAGTTTAATGTGACTTATAATTCTGCGTAATACTTAGGAGCGCTTGCGTAGGAGTATGAAAGCTTTGTGATAAATGAGCGCCTTTATCGTAGGCCTAATTATTGAGTGTCATAAAACTCACTGAGTTGTACGGTATAAGCGTGAGGTTTTTTAAGGAAAGTAAATTAACACAAATTTATTGCGAACCCTTAAGACTCAAGGATTAATACTTCAGGTACATAACTTTAGTACGTATTCTATACTTTCACTTATTATTTTCCAATAATCACATCATTGGTATATTCGTCTCGTTTCGTTTGCACGCAAACATTCTGATTTCCAGGATACTTCATTGGCCCTGACACCATTCCAAGTGGATTTGTTTTGTGCGTTTGAAATCGACAACATTTCTATTTGGGGTAACGACAAATATGATTTATTAACTACACTCGAGTAAGGCGTATATAATGAGTGTATACAAGGAACTTGCAGCTATTACAAGCCAGTGTGAATTCAGAACGAAGTTTTAATGTTTCGCAACATCGTCCTTTCAGGTCTTCACAAGCCCATGTACAAATATTTTTTAACTCCCGATTTTGTATATATGTATAATTTTTGTCTATATATTTAGAAATTCAATAAACAAAGCTGATGAGAAAACTCTAACCGTAGTTTTCCACGCAATATTATCAAAAAAATTTAAATTGGATGGCGGGACTGTTGTAATTCGTGGAGGTCAGCCTGTTTTTGCAGATGGTTGGAGTAATGGTGGTGTTCCTATCACCACGGAAGAGTAAGTATGTCATACTAGAAATACTTGCATACAACACAACCCCTCGCCTTTATTTTTCTTAAACATTGTTTTAACATGAAGTATTCTATATATCAATGGCAACACGATCATAGGTTTTTAATTTCTTAATTGTGCAAAACGGCAAAACGTAAATTAAACACACCCTTTTCAAAAAGGCGGAAATTAGGGCGGCATATTAATGAGGTGCATGAAAACGAGGCTAGTTGGGCCTCGCGCGATGCGGTTTCTTCCAAATTATATATAGTGAGCAGTAAACGTTCAAAAATTTGGCGATAAAAACCTTTAAAAGGTCATATTGTGAACTGTATTCAGCCCATCAGAAATGCATACAAATTGTTGCGTCCCTAAATGCACTAAAAAAGGTTCCAGAGATGAGAACGGATCAAAAATATCTTATTATAAATTCCCTGATAACTCGACGATCATGAAGCGAAAGTGGATTCATGAAAATAAGACGTGACGAAGGAAAAGATTTCACTATAACAAAGTGGACTAAAGTCTGTTCATTGTTCAACACATTTTAGAGATTACGACTTTCAGAAAACACTAAGTGGCAGGAGAAAATTGCGCCCGAACGCTATTCCTTCGCAATTTGATGGACTAGAATGTCACCAAGAAGACGCGATATGCTCCTACTGTACGCGTGCCTATAATTGATACTTCTAATCCCAATGATAATTTCTCGAGAGATTTGAACTTAGAAACTTCAACTTCTGATGGGGAAAATAACGAAATTACTAGTGATTGCCCCTTAAAGGATGTAGAAACACAAACGGTGTCAAATCAGATTGATACTGCTGTGAGTTCTTTTATTTGTCAAAACGCTCCAATCAATGCCAATGCGGGCAATGACAACACAGAAAAACTAAAATAACAATTGCTAGATTACGAACGAGACTTAAAAAATGCGGAATTAAATATTTTGTCTCTTGAGCAAAAAGTTTTCACGGCAGGTCGATTTTTAATTAAAGATCACGACTCGTCTGTCCGATTTTACACTGGTTTTGCAAATTAGAGAACTTTCATAGCTATATTTAACTATTTTACATCCCGGTCGTAACGGTGAGAACATCAAATACTGGTGCTCTGATTTGTCTCAACGTGAAACAAGTGATGACAATAACACCACTATGCCTATGGAAAATAAACCAAAATTAGGTAGGCAAAGAAATCTCAAACCTCTTGACGAATTTTTCGCTGTTATGTGCAGGCTTCGACAAGGCTTTCATGAGAAACATTTAGCTAACTTGTTCGGTGTTTCGACAGCCACGATTAGTCGTATTCTAATTTCCTGGATAAATTTTATGTACTTGAAACTTGGGCAACTCAATATTTGGCCTTCAAGGGAAGCACTCGACAAGTTCATAGACTGTTCATGCACGAGATCCGTCCACCAGAGTGATCATAGATTGCATGGAAGTTCGATGTCAAATGCCAAACAGTTTGCATTTAAACGGCAAATTATTCAGCAACTATAAGCATCACACGACATTCAAAGGCTTGATTGGTATAAGTCCTGGAGGGGCAGTGACCTTCATTAGCCAATTGTACACTGGCAGCATATCGGACAGAGAAATCGTCATTCGAAGTGGATTTCTTAAACTCCCTTTCCAAAATGACGATTCCGTTATGGCAGACAAAGGATTCAAAATCGAGGATGTTTTACCCATCGGTGTATTACTGAATATTCCACCGTTTCTTGGGCAGTCCAGTCAAATGTCCACTAAGGATAACGAGCCATTAACAAAATAAAGAACTTTCATATATGGGACTCAGTCATACCACTTAGTCAGGTTGGAATTTTAAACCAAATGTGGACAGTGTGTGCAATCTTGTGCAATGCTCAACCAAATATTATTTCTCTTGACTCGTTATACACTGACTGTATATAATTTTAATTGTTTACGTTTGCACAATTATGAAATGTACATTTTGAATGAAATTATGAAATGTACACCCTAAGAACGAATTCCTATTGGTTAATATATTCAAAACTATCATTTCTATTAATACTGCATAACTGCTACTGCTAATATTGTATGTACTATTTAAAAAACGAGCAGGAGTGTTTTATTAGGTTTAAAGCCACGAGCGCGCAGCGCGAGTGGCTTTAGACCTAATAAAACACGACCTGCGATTTTTTTAAATAGCTTCAAAAACGTATGCATAATAATGCAAATCTTTATATAAAAATCTTTATATAAAAATCTTTATATAAAAATCTTTATATAAAAATCTTTATATAAAAATCTTTATATAAAAATCTTTATATAAAAATC